GACCTTCGTTCTGCGATTTCCCGCCTATACGGGCACCGTTTTGCGATCGCAAAAACGGCCTCGTAGAGCGAATTCATCGCTCTACGAGGTGCCCGTTGTGCGAGGCACCACTTGTAAATTCATTTTAAAAATGGCTCAAGTTAACCTACAGATACAACCGACCCTTTGATGGGGACCAAACTGCTGATGCGGCCCCCGATGAATTTGAGTTTGACACCCCTGGTCTAGGGGGTTTGTTTGTATTTTGTCCCTCCCGCATTTCCGATGGGTCTTGGGGGGTTGGTGGTTTGTTGGCTTCCCCCCCATTTCCGATGGGTCTTGGGGAGTTTGATTGCTTTTTGGGGTTTTTTCCCCATTTCCGATGGGTCCTGCATGTTTCCCTTGCTTTTTCCTTCATTCCCTGTGCATTTCCCATCTGCTTCATTTGTTTTCTGTGCAATGGGTCTTTCACGCTTGATTGTTTTTCTTTTCTTTTTTTCCCCTTCAGCCGGAAGGAATTAATCATGTTTCCAATAAGTCTTGCAGTGGGTTTTTTGTGTGTGATATTTTTTTTCTTTCGGCCGGAACGGATTAATTGCATTTTAATGCATTCCTATGGGAATGGTGCTTCAACTTACACTTCAGGAACAGATTATGGCCATAAGTCGAGGCACCACTGTACTATGTCTTCCGTATGTATGCATGTATGCATGTATTCCCATAATCTTATTTTGCCCCCTTCCCCCGTCTACATGCTGAGAAAGGCTAACGTAGTTACTGCTCTGGAAATGGAATCTGTAGTTAATAATAGTTTCTGGCTTGTTTCATCATTTGTGCAAAACAAGGGGTAAAGCAGCTGCATGAAGATTCCTGAACTTAACATATATAACAATTTATTATAGTATTATCTTCATCACTCTAGTTATCAGCACAGGGGGTATAAACTATACCTTTCTGCAAGTCCATTATAGCAATTCATCCACATACAAAGGGAGAAGCCACACTGATGGAGTATACCGGCCACAAAACAAGCAATCAATGCTTCGGGCTTCCAAAGCAGATGTTGGGCAGTGTTTAATTATTCAGTTGGCAATCTTATTATTGATGTCAATAAATGACTTCAGGAAGTGAATCCTCTTAGTTGGTTAATGTGTAACAAAGAGCAATGGTTCCTACAGAAATTAAGAGCCAGCTGTTATCACATTTTAGCGTTTTAGTGAGCAAGATGAAGAGTAAGCAAAATATACTATTCACATCCACTTACACTTCTTCTTTGCCAAGCTAGATACCACCTTTAAAAATAACTCTTCCAACCAAGAAACAAAACTGGAACCATCATAGTGAGAAGGCTAATTACATATTTTATAGGAGAAATAATATGTACCTTGACTATCTATTTATAGGAGAAACCTGATCAAAACAAACAAATCAATTCTGGGGAGAAAATACTTTTGACCAATCAGTCCTAGAACAAACAGGACTGATAAATATTTTCAGAATTAAAACAATAACAACTAGCAAATAAGAATAATGTGTAACTGAGGTATACTTTCATAGTCTTGTTACAAAAACATGCCCCTTCCAAGGAACATTTTTTTAAATGAACTGTTAAGAAGCATTTTTCTATGACAGATTTCACTTTCATGTGAACTTACTGCTAAATTTCTGCATATTCTTGCATATTTTTGAATGATAATAAGATGAATATTGCAAGTGATTAGGACATACACTCACAAATATTTTTCTCCCAACATGTGACAGAGCAAGACACCAAGTACTGCTGAAATAGTAGAACCTGAGTGCCAGCTTCTCGCCCTTCCTCTCCTCCACCCATTCTAGGTAGAACAAGCTAAGAAAGGTCATGAGATTAACTTGGCATTTCAGACTAAACTCAGGTTGGCATCAGGCCAAGAATACTTCACTGCCATATTTGCTATGTTCATATTTATATATTACGTTTCTTCTTCATTTTTTTTTAAACTACACCTGGTCTCTCACATTCCAACCAGAGTAAATAATAAAGGAAACATTGAAATAAATAGTATTAGAATATCTGGTAAGTGCTCATCCAGAAGTACAGTATGTCTAAACAAAAATATTTATTTTGTTTAGTTTTCATGACAATTCCAAGTTTGGGATACAAAACCTTTACAACTGGCTTCCAATGACCACTTTTTGGCTGCAGGTAAACACAAACAAGAGAGTGAGATTGCCCTCACTTAAATCTTGATTTTGGGCTTCCCAAAGGCATCTGACTGGCCTCTGTTGAAAACAGAAGGCTCCATACATCTTTAGTCTGATCAAGTTCTCTGCTTTTGCTCTCAAAATAAGAAATGAGTTCCTACTATAAATCGCAGATATACTCTCCCAAATTTTTTTTTCAGATGTGGAGGAGGAAACTCCCACATCTAAGCTGCCACTAGTTCTGAAATCACCTTAGTCCTCACATCTCATTCTTCAATAACACAACATGATTCTTCTCCACCCCACACCATTACTGGCTCAGATGAAAGTTGAACTGTCACCTTCAGGAAGTGGACAACTCCTTCCCACATTCCCAATGAAAAAAGTGTAACTGCATTCTCACTACAGTACCTTTCTGTCTTTACCTCTCTCTACCAGACAACAGTCAAAAGTATCAGCTAGTTCCAATACATTATTTGTTCAAACCTTGACTGAGAGATACTGTTCAAGATTTGGATAATTCTAGGCCTTCACATGCCAAAAGCACTCCTGTTCTGATGAGCAATCTTGTCTTTCTTCATTTAATCAGCTAATACTCTCCCTGCCCTAACTTTCAACAAGTGGCTAGAACCAACTTTCCTACTTTCTCATGTCAGATGACAAGGTCTAACAGCTGATGGCTCACTGATTAAGCCCCCTTATTTTACGGCTGACCCCAACAGCATACCAATGTTTGCTAAAATATTCTAGCCACCATCTCCTGAGTAATTCTAACTTCTCCCTGCTTTTTATCATCTCCTGTACTAAGGTCTGGAAATGCAGTTGCCTCTTGCTAGATGCTAAATCCACTTCCACCAGCATATACTGTTATACTTAACCAGGAAATTCCCCCAGGCTGTTTCAAACCAGGATAATACATTTGACTTCCTTCCTTTATCTACGCACTTGATTCTATTCCATACTTTATGATTTGTAAGAATTGTTTGCATCAAATTATCACTCAACATCCTTTGTCTAATGCTTATTGTTGTCAGCATTCCCAGAAACCTATAATGGAGCATCAATCAATGGGTTGCACTACTCCCTCTCCCAAGAACAATTATGACCTGTCTCATGCAAAAGCACTCTCTCTCTCTCCTACATACTCATAGTTACTGATTCATTCATCCCACACACATATACAATGCCAGCCCTGCTGCTTATTAGAAAACAGATCCTACACCATAGACCCGAAACACTAATCAATTCCTCTTCTCATGACAGTCCAGCTCCCAATTTCAAGTTACTGATTAGTAAGAAAGACTATTTTCCACATGGATATTATTACTTCAAGCAGTTGACAAGGGCTATGCCTCCTTTCTCCCTGCCCCTTTCCAGCCCCATATATTAACATGCCCAACCTCAACTGACAGGTCACCCTCTAAACCCCTCTACAAAGACTGAGGCTACCTACTCCATGTCCCTAGGCCCTTATAATAATATCCTTCTATCGGAGAAGCACACTAGGAAACCTCTCCTCAACCCATGAGGCAGATCCAGACCCCTTCACTCTATTAGTGTCTCCTCGGAAATGAGACCCACTAAGTTGAAAGGTATGGGCAAGGCGGCATCCTTCGTATAACCCGGGTTATTAGGAAGCCTGCTGCTGCCGGGCACAGCCTCTTTCTTCCATGCCGGGCACAGCCTCTCCCCACCCACCCTCCAGGCCCGATTCCCGGTCCTCACCCCACTCGAGGAAGTCGGAGACGAGCCGGTCTCTCCGGAGCGGCGAGTCTCGGCTGAACTCGTTGCAGAGGCCGACCAAGAGGTCCAGCAAGGCCTCCACGCTCAGGACGTTCTCGTTCCGCCGCGGCCCTTCCAGCAGCAGCTGCTCCAGCTTCTTCAGGCGCACCTTGGCCGACATGATGGTGGCGGCGGCGGCTGGGGGGGGGGAGAAGACGACGACGATTCGGCTCGTCGGTCCAGGCAGAAGGCAAAGGGGCCGAAGCTGAGGGGGGAAGAGAGAAGGAGAACAGCCCGAGAGGAGGAGGAGGAGGAGGAGGAGGAGGACGGCGGCGGCGGAGAGGATAAAAAGAAGCGAGGAAAGAGGCGGCGCCTCAGGCGCTGGGCAGCGGCGGCATCCAGGAGTCCAGCCGCCCCTCCTCCTCCTCCTCCTCCGCTCCCCTCAGCGCCCTCCGAGGGAGGACCAACGGCCCCGGCTGGAGTGGAGGCGAGGGCGGCTTCCCCTCCTTGCTACGCCCGCATTGCGCGAGGCCTCCCCCGGCAGCAGAAAGAGCGGCTCCTCCGGGCTCTGCTCCAGGCCCGGCTGGTCCATGGGCCGGTCCCTCCCTTCCTCTGCGGACCCGCTCTCTCTCTCTCTCTCTCTCTCTCTCTCTCTCGCTTCGCCTGGCAACCGCTGAGGAGGAAACTGGCGGCAGCGGCGGCTTCGGCTTCTTCTGGTCCCTCACGGTGGTCGCCCAAAGGGGACCGCTGAGGGCTTGCGGCGGAGCGAAGGGATGCCTTTCCGCTCTGCGACGACCGGCCACCAATGCCCTGTCGGTCGGTCGGTCGGTCGGTCACCCGGGCAAACGCCGTTCTGTCTCTCCTTCCC